GGCCCTTTCTGCTGTGCAGTGATACGTTATAAAATGAAGTGTAGTTTGGTTCACAACAAGGTCTGATTATCTTGCACCGCATCATTTCTGGAAAAAGACACGTTACAAATGTTTGAAGCACATGTTTGTGACTGAACTTAACCTTTAAGTTTCAGCCAGCTGCATCATTCTATCAGAGGCAAATATGGTACCTGATTGTGCATCATTTTATTCACATTTCCCCCAATTTCAGGCTGCCATATATGGTATCTTTGGAGGTATGGAAGCCCAAAAGTGGACTTTTTTCTGAAAGGATAATGTGGATTTGAAAAACCTTCATTAATGAGAGGACTGACAGGTTGCATTATGTGTTGTTACACCAAAAGATCATGTTGGGGATGCAGTTTGATGCTTTTCAAATGTGTGTTTTGGGCGCTATGAGCATCACAACCCCAAAGCAATCTTTTGGAGAGAAGGCAGCCATCTTTAATGCTGAAAAGTCCAACACTATAACTCACACCAACCCACTATAGATCGATGAAAAGAACTGCAGGCTATAGGAATTTTGTATTTCTAATTTCTCATGTGAACTTCAGCTTTTATGCTGCTGCAACATACACATGTCCCAACTTGGGATCAATAAAGTACTTCTTATCTGATCCTATCTTATCTTTAGCACACTGACCCAGTCTCTTTTCCTTTCCAGTGTCTTCTCACCCAGAGGAACCACATTAGGCCGACAGCCAAATGGTGATGCTGGCCATGCAGCACTACAACTCCTCCTGTGTTATCGCCCCCTTCCCCCTTTCCAACCAGACCCCCACGGTGCAGGAGACAGAGGTGGAGGCCGTATCGAGCAACGCCACCGGATCAGCTAATAACCCCACAGCCGCCGGCCTCAGCATGACTCTGGGCATCCTCTTCAACGTGGTGGCCCTCATCATCCTCGCCAAGGCTTACAGTCGCTACCGGCGGCGGTCAAAGGCCACTTTTCTACTCTTAGCGAGCTCGTTGATAGCGACCGATTTAGCAGGACATGTGATCCCTGGGGCTCTGGTGCTGAGGAGGTACTCGGTGCACACTCAGGGGTCCACAGATGATTCTGTTTCCACATTTCGAGGTGACCCGGAGAACCCAGATGCGTCGTGTTTGTTTCTCGGTGGTTGCATGGTGTTCTTTGGACTCTGCCCCCTTTTTCTGGGGTGTGCTATGGCTGCCGAGCGATGCCTTGGCGTCACCAAGCCTTTGCTTCACGCTCGCTTAGTCACAACAGCTCGGACTAAAATGGCACTCGCCTTGATTTGGCTGCTAGCTTTATGTGTGGCCCTCCTACCTTACTTCAGCCTTGGGGCCTACACTTACCAGTACCCGTGGACGTGGTGCTTTATCAGGGTGGTGGAAGGCACTAGAGACACGGATCTGGTCTTCGTGATGGTGTTTTCTGGACTGGCGTTGAGCTCTTTGGCCTCGGCCTTTGTGTGCAACACCATCAGTGGGATCACGCTGGTGAGGGCTCGGCTAAAAAAGAAAAAGCCCTGCTCCCAGCGCAGCTCCGCAGGGTCTCAGGACACGGAGATGGTGGTGCAGCTGGTGGGCATCATGGTCACCTCCTGCATCTGCTGGAGCCCTCTGCTGGTGAGTGACTGCTAAAACAACTTCATTAAATCTTAAAAAGCATATTTGTAGATGACTAAATATCAACATGTGTGTGATATTTCAAATCATAAATCGTTGTTGCATAGAGGCAACATTGTATTTTTATATTTAGGAAAGCCTATCTTAATGATTGGTCAAGTATAAATAAACGTTCTATGAATATTGAGATAGTAGATACAGATGTTCATTTTAATTCATATTTCCCCAAATAGTTTTACCTGCATGAACACATTAACAATCAAGTTACATTTTTGACATTGCATTTTCATTTTTAATTCATTTCATTTTCAATTTTAACAAACATTTGAACATTGTCCAATGTACGGCAAACTTTTTGAATTGAAAATCTTCATTTTTTCATAAAAACACCCATACAAATAATTGGATTATTGCATATTCACTTTTTTTTGTATCAATGTTTACTCAAAAAACATATACATATTTGTTTAGTTTTAATGGTTGTATGGAATTACATTTACATTTTTGGGTTTACATAATCATTTAAATAAAGTCTACTATGGGCTGCCATACATTTCAAACAAATTCACCAAAAAGTTATCTGGGTTTGTTATGAATAAAGATTGAGATAAAAGAGGTTAAAGCATTTGCTGTAATCATGCTTAAACAGACTTAATACCGAAGTATCTGTTTAAAAGATGAGGCCTTAACTTCTTTAATTGTTTTTTTAAAGGTTTTTGCACTGATGTCAGCCACGAAGTCGTACAGTGGCATGTTGGACAGTGATAGAGACACTTTTAGGGGGCTGATGGTGACCGGGGTCAGGATGGCGACCTGTAACCAGATCCTGGACCCGTGGGTTTACATCCTGCTGCGACGCGCCGTCCTCAGGAAAATCTACCGAATCACAAAAAGAAGGGCCAGTTTCAAGGGGAGCACTTTCCGTTCTGCTCGCTGGGACATCAGCTCCTTCCAGACCTCAGAGAAAAGCAGCGTTAATAACATTTAAATGGACTTCTTCACCTCATGTAGCCCAGCACCTTTTACCCCTTCCTGTTTGAATGCAAATGTGTTAGTTCTTCTTGTTTAACACTAGAAGTTTTGTAAAAAATCTATTATATTTGGGAACATTTACAGCTATAGAGCGGCGATTTAATGGTTCATAGTACCACAAATATCAGCTATAAGTGGCTGGCAGGATTACAAATGTCCAGAAATCTATGAGGACATTTTTAATAACTCTGTAGTGTTTTCTTGGTGTAAATGGCTCCTATGAGGAACTAAGGAAAACCGAAGCACGCCAACCTGTCAGACTCATGTTGGCTCAAAAGCAAATTCATGTTGACATTGTTTTTGAAATAACTCTCAATGCCAGAAGGGTAGACGAACGTCCAAAGTCTGGAAGTTTATAAAAACATGTCAAACTAGAGACCAAATTCTCCAAATAATGACCCATTGATGATTGGGTCATTATTATGATTGATGTAGTAGGCTATCTCAAAAATAATGAACATGTCAGTTTGCTAGTTAGCTAGCTAGTGAACATTAGTAATCTCTTTAGCGTGCTTACTAGCAAACGTTAGCTAACTTCCTAACAAGCTAGCTAGTGAACGTTAGTTATATATCTAATTAGCTATCTATCGGCAATTTGGCGATTCATAATGTAAATTATAATTTCTTATTTAATACCCTATGGTTAGGGTTACCCTATGTGGACCTGCGTCTACCCCTTATGGCAGTAAGAGAAATTGTAAAACCCCCAAACATCCGCGCAAATACTGTAATATGCGTTATTTGGATAAACTAATCGCATGTTGGGAATCTAAATGGTTATATTCTTGCCTGGAAAAGTAATAATTTGAGTAACAGTTTATTTAAAAAAGCCTAAAAAAGGTGTCTTTTGCAAGTTAAGGTTGTTAAAGATGGCTACGCTAAGCTAAATAATCGCACTTCTGCCCTAAAACTGAAGTTTAAACACAAAATAAGCCGATGTGGAAGCTCCCTAGCTTGGACAAAGCGGGATGTGTCATCTACTTTTTATTGGATGATCTGTGTCTGATGGTCCGTATACTAGACATGTTTGCATGGCAGTCTGTCCTATACACGAGCATATGTAAATACAAAGAGATTATGTTGGTTGGATTAAAATATGCTAACTTGTCGCTAAAGTGAAGACTGTATCATAAAGCAAACATCTCAACTCAAAGGGTTTGTTCGTTTAGTTCTCTGACACAATGTAAATTACTTTTATAAATGCTCACATAAGAGAGCCAAAGAAAAGGCTGTGCATTTACCTCAGCTTGAAGATGTGAAAAAACAGCATGTATGTGTCTAATTTTATGCTGTGACATGAATGTGAATGTGTGACTGTTATTTGTATGTTTGTAAATGTGTCAACAGTATTTCCCCCACGTTTCTGGGGACTGAAGTGAAGCTATTTTTTGCAAAAGCTAATTAAATGTGATGTTGTTATCAAAAAGGGAATGTTAAATTGAATAATAAATTGTTATCTGCTAATGTTTCATTTTCAACTGGTCTATAATTGATGACTTCAACTATCTTCTGATTGAATAATAAAGCATGGCACTCATTCTGTGGGAGTCATTTTCTGCCAATATATTATGGAAAATAAGATACTGTAAGTCATAATAAAAAGAAACATTCTAAAAATGATTTAGTAAAAATTATGTAAAATCTCAAAAGAGTATCTTTAAAAAAAGATGTATTATTGCCAACAATGACTTAATTTCTTGTTATTATGTAAAAATAAGTTTGTTTCATGACAAGGCTATGTTTTTTTTTTTTTACTAGCAGACAAAGGCTTCCATATTTCTCTAATGTCTAGTCTTAATAACACATTACAATACCATAAAAGTAACCCATTAAAATACATAAATACATTTAAAAAAGGTAGGAGTCTACTATTGTGTAATGATTGCAAGTTTGAATTGTTTTAAGCCCAGCTGTATAATACGTGTATTCATTGTGAGTCTTATTTCAAGTGTCTAGTGTAGATTTGTGTTCCAGATTTTACGTTCCGGATTAGGATCAAATAAAAATAAAAATAAACACTTTCAAGATAATGAACACAAAACTAACAGTGTTTTTCAGAGAGCCACAAGCTAACTTGTCAGCTAACAATGAATTTCAGAATGAGTACCAATATTTTGGTGGCTAAATAAACTGGAGAATTCCCACAATAATGCTCGACAGGTTTAGGAAATAAGATTATACTTTTATGTTTTACTTTGGTTACATTTGTCAGGCCCAAAATAACATTGAATGAATTAGCCCGGTGTTGGATGGACGACCATTACCCTTAATTGTCTACCTTCCTTTAGCCTGATTGGTTAACATCGCAGTCAGATGGGATATCTGACCAATGAGCGTTGTCCCTTTTGATATCGTGGGCGTGTCCATTTTATACTCCTGCTGCCTAGACCGGAGCAGCCGTCTATTAGCAGCAACGACACCACGGTAAGTGAGAATAAAACACAATTTGTAGCCCTTATTACGCATGGAATTGGTGTTTATTAGTCGCTGAACTCCAAGAGAACTAACGAAGCATGTTACTGTTTAATACAGTGTTAGTTTATATGCGCTTTATGAAGTGATACGTTTGGCTTTGTTCGGCTAAGCTAACAAGCTAACGGCTAACTATGGGGTCTCCTCGACCATTTTGGTGTCTGATAGGCAACAAAATAATATCTAAACACAGAAAAAATCCCCCTTGTGTGTTTGCACTGCGATTTAGTTGTCAAGCTTGGTAGGTATGTGATGTTTTTGTGGTTCTGTGAGCATGTCGTCACGTCGCTTCAAACGATGGAGGAACCGTTTTTTTCAGTTGGGGGTTGCGTTCTGAAATAAAATGGCGTCTGTTTTCTAAATTCCCCTGATGATGAAGCTGCGGCTGGTTTCAATAACTGCTGGGTTTCTTCTTCATAATGCACGCTTCATGCTGGTAGAAAGATGTTGCGTCAATGCAGGTTTAACAGGTGTAACGGTAGCTTGCAGTGCCACACGTCAGTGACTTGTTGAATGAAACACAAACAAATGGCTAGTGTTTGTGCTGGTTGTAATTTAAACTAGCAATAACATCATAATATTTTGGATCCGATAAGTCGACATTGATATTGTAAGCTGGCATTGGTGTAGATCAGATTCCGAGTTTATCACCAGGATATTTGCTTTGGTGTTTGGTGGTGCAAACATGAACACAACATAAGGAAATGGGTTGTAGGAGAAGATCAAAAATTATAAAAGGAGAATATAACTGTAAGAAATGGGTTTATATACAAATAAAATATTAAAAAAAAAACGGTTTAACATTAAAGAGAATAAGTAATATCTCGAACAGTTTGTGTTCGGGCTCCAAATTGATGCTTTCACAATATTTAGACAATTGAAATGGGGTGAATAATATAAATAAAAGTGAAAAAAGAAAAGGCAACAATATTACTATATATTTTTCTTATTTCCTGATATTGATATTTAGCAGCCCTACTTTGACCCCCATGTCTTTGCTCCAACCAGTAAATAAAGAATCCTAATAAGTCTGTAAATCATCTCCAAACAAGCTTGCACTGGAGCATGTCAGCACTGTGGGTGTGTCACGATTGAAAAAGGATGTGGATCCTACAGATTTTACCCTACTTTCCCCTCATGATCACATCCTATTATTGTTGCTACACAGTAGAGGTCATGCATGCATCATCACAGACGAATATCAGTCATCCATGAAGGAACATTGGTTGACCTCTACTCAACGATCAATCATGGCGGGTAGCATTGCCCGTTATGAAAAAAAATGATCATGTTGGCTCCATTGCTTCCAGATCTTGGTAGAACAATTAAGTAGTTTGGTCGATTTCCTTAATCTATAAGCTAACATTTGTCTTCCTGTTGAATGACTTATTTAAAACAGTAAAATAGGTGCACATCTTGTGAATTGATTCAGTGGTACTTTTGCATGACTCTTTGTGAAACTAATTAGTTAATAACTCATCCAAGTGTTTGTTGACCAATCATTTCTTCACTCAAGTACACATGAAGTTGCCTGTGTTTATTACAACTAGCTGCATTTCTGCCTGGGCAAGCAGGGCTGTGTTGTGTTTAACCCCTGAGGCATTTGCTGCTGTGCCGACAATTCTCTTTTGTTTCCATAGCTGCTAACCACTTTCTTTACACTGATAGATGAAAGAGTCTTTTCAGAGTGCAGTGTTTCATCCTGCCCACATACATTTTCTATACAAATGGAACCGATTTGAATGGGTGCCTGCCATTCTGACTTTAGTGGATGTGTTTCATTTCCAGCTGGTTGAAGATGTTAATGTTTTATTAATGTTAAAATGTATTAATTTGTATTCCCCCCCCCCCGTACAGACGGACTGCAACATCTGCTGCCAAGAACACGTTTTTTAACAGTCATTCGCTGGATATAGAAGTCACCACGGCCTCGAGACCAACAATGGTAATCATTTCATTTCAGTCTGTATTTAATGCAAATCTATGCATCACTTTCGTGGTTGTTTCTATGCCTCTCAATAGCCATGCAGCCAAAGCACAAGACAATAAATATTCACGTCTAATTTGAGTCACAGGACTGGTGCCAGCGCTCGCTCTGCCCGAGGCTTTAGGAACACATGCTGCAGCTTCCACATCAGCGCTCCTCTCTAAATTAAATCTGACTGGCTGCGTAGACACTGGCTTGTGTAATCACTGGTGCTAGAAGCTAGGACTACACATGAGACCTTGTTATGCATGTTTTAAATAAATAATACAATGAGTGAGACGGAGATTCATTTTCAAGGTTGACAAAGATGAAAGTTAAGCAGGATTTAATGAAGCTAGTTGAATCACATTTCTCAATAAAACCTGGAACATTTTCAAGTGGCTCAGTGTTTTATGGTTCAGGCCCAGCAGCTCAGTAATCCTCCTTTTGTGAGACCAGTCTCTGTTGTATAAATTATGTTTGTTTTTCATCAAACTGTTATCAAAACTGCAGAATTGATAAGTGCAATATTATAAGAATATTAGGGCTGTCAAACGATTACAATTTTTAATCAGATTAATCACAGCTTAAAAATTAATTAATCATGATTAATCACCATTCGAACTATGTCCAAAATATGCCATTTCTTTATGTATATTGTTGTGGGAATGGAAAGATAAATGAAAGAAGGCGGATATATCCATTTAACATACAGTATGTATGTTTATTATAACATTGTTCTGTGTGTCAAAATGAAAGACAGCCCACACACACACACACATCTTAATTCATTACGTGTTGATTTCTATCAACGGGGGAGTACTTCAGGAAAGTCGACGGGGGGTGCTAGTGGAGTACTTCGTGACCACAGAGTGTGAACGTTGTGATCAGCTGTTTTAGCTCAGTTCTCCAGTGAATGGGGGGGGTCTCCCTCCGCAGCCGGTTGGCGTAGTTTTGGCACAATTCCGTTTTACAGACCAACGTTAACAGCAGCCCTATCTGTGCACACGGAGGCCGACTCTGTCGTTCGGTGATCTAACCGCCTTCTTGAAAAGCTTCACAAGTTTCTCGGTACGCAAATGCGCTTTGTGACACAAGTAACGGTGCACATTTCAGATTACGCACATAACCTGCGTACCGGTTATGTGCACCCCTGTACTACAGCAAATATTCTCCGTCGGGACTTCCTGCAACAACACCACGCTGCTATCTTGATTCTGTGTTTTATTGAGTAGACGATCACTACGCGACAAAAGTTTTCAAAACCGTTTCTGGTCTTCGGTATTTCCAGATAAGTGGCTACTGAAATCAATCTTACTAACTGCTGTCTGTGCAATTCTCGGCGCGAGTTGGCGGACTTTATTTTGCTTACTTTAACATCATCTTTCAAGGTGGGGCTAAGCCATTTCTTGGTATTGGTGTAGCCTACCCCAGCCATACCCTGGCGCTGCCACTGGTGGGATGTATGGGGCGGGCCATTCTGCACATGCGTTAAATATTTTAACTCAATTAATTCAAAAATTGTATTACCGCCGTTAACGCAATAATTTTGACAGCATTAAAGAATATATTTCTTAATTTAGTAATGTGTTGCAGAGAAGTTCAAGCCTACGAACCGTATTCTACAGACTTGACTAAAAAAATCACACTGAGATGTATTTATTTTTTCCTTTACTTTTTATTTTATTTTTTTTGTACATTTGACAAAAAATACTTGTGACTTTTTAGTGTTTGTTTTTATTTTTATAAAGAAGACATTAAAAACTCCATATACTACAACAAACAAAAATTCAGCAGCCATACATGTGGCATCGTGATCATTTAAATATATTTTTTAATGTAAATGGTGTTTCCAATATGATGTGTCCCTCAAATATCTGGAATCATATCCCAGTTGCATTATCAATCAAAAATAATCCTGTCAGAGCGCTACCTCTGCTGTTTCTTCCTCATTAACGTTCCTGTGTCTCCCCCCCGCCCCCTGTAGCCTCCTCCCATGCGTCACCGGTCGATGCGCGTCTTCATGAACGACGACCGACACGTCATGGCCAAACACTCTGTGATCTACCCGACGCAGGAGGAGCTGGAGAGCGTTCAGAACATGGTCTCCCACACAGAGCGCGCACTCAAGGCCGTCTCTGACTGGCTGGATAAGCAGGAGAAGGGAACGTCCAAGTCTGACTCTGACATCGTAGAAACTGATAAAGAAAGGTGAGGAGATGTCAGATACCGTTTATATTTGATATAATATTTTTCATTTGTAGTTAATTCTGTATTCCATTTTAGTAGTATTTTATTCTATGCCTGAACGCACTGATGCTTCTTCTGTAACCCAATCATTTCCCAAATTCGGATAAATAAAGTATTTAGTTATCTATCTTGTGTTCAGTTTGTACAAAATGAGTCCTCCATTTTTTTTAGTTTTTTTGAGTAGTTGTTGGCCTTGGGTGATTGTTTTTTTTCTCCCCCCGCCGACAATGACCGCCTCTGTGTTTTTGCCAGTGAGCACAGAGATCAGGCGACCCGCTCTCTGCGTGGTGTGATGAGAGTCGGCCTGGTGGCTAAAGGCCTGCTTCTGAAGGGGGACCTGGACCTGGAGCTGGTGCTGCTCTGTAAGGAGAAGCCCACCATCATGCTGCTGAAGAAAGTCTCTGAAAACCTCCTCGCACAGCTCAAGGTAAGTGCACGGTTCAGCTCATTCAATGCACTGAATAATTCAATTTCAATTGAGACCGACCGATATTGGGTTGCGCGTAGTAATCAGCAGTGAACCGCTTCAACACGTGTATTTCGGTTTATTCACGGCGTTCATTTTGTTATTCTACAGTATTGTTGTTTTATAGTTATTTGTTAATGTAACCCTATTTGTGTTTTTTTTTTATTGAAAAGGATATCGCATTGTGTGTGTTACTTTTGTTGCAGTTGTATATGTCTTAAGTGTAATTTGGCTTGGCTTCCTATTTTGTATGGACAAGCTTTTATTTTTTAAGGAGAGTTAGTTAGAAGTTGTTGTTGCTATGGAAACAACGTAACGAAGAAAAGTCATATCTACATATAAAGACGGAGAAAGTAAACGATAAAGTTTATGGTTAAGTGTTGGCACCCCCCGAAGAGGCACAAGCTCTTACTATCATATTGGAGATTTCAATCAATTCAATTTGAAAAAAACGAATATCCGAATAACGAAATTGAAGCCCGAATAGTACTCGAACGAACGAATATTCGGACATTCGGGTACAGCCCTAACAGGTTATAAGTAATACACTAACCAATTTGAATGAGACAATAATAATCCTTTCAACCCAAACATAGGTTTTGTTGCTCCTTAAACACTATGCACTCTCACAGGTGATCACAGAAGACAAGTACATGATGACTCAGCACATCCGTGACGCCAGCATCGTTGTCAAGAACACGAAGGAGCCCCCCCTCACCCTCACCATCCATCTGACCTCCCCTCTGGTCCGCGAGGAGATCGAGAAGGGGACCACCGGAGGTAAGCTCCACCCGAGGGCCTCGGTGTTTCACAGGCCCTCCCACCTCCTCCAGCAGGGGGTCAACCAGTTCAGATAGATATTGTTTATTGGGCCTTCAATGGAGCTAGGGGACATGAATGCACCGTCACATAACGAAACTCTGCTATGCTTATAGCTCTCTAGACTCTCTCGTAGTTCCATGTGATGTAAGTGTACATTTTTGATGGCCCAATATACAGTATAGAGGGCAGGCAGTTTACTGAAAGGCTCTTCTCTTCACCACCCATCAATGAAATGAAGGCTTACTGAGAATTTAACCCAAAAAAAAGCAAAGAGAGACCACTTTGTTTGCATGTGTTCTTATCATTGATGATGAACGGTTTGCATTGCAGCAAAAATGAGAAGCAAAACGTGGTGAAAACTGTCCTCAGACGTTAGACCAGGGGTGTCGAACTCAATTTCATCACGGGCCACATCAGCATTATGGTTGCACTCAAAGGGCTGGTTGTAACTTTAAGAGTATATCAAAATACATATATAAATATTTAATATATATACAAAATAATGTATTGCATTATTGCCTCTGCATTGGATTATTATGGGATAGGGTAATAACTTCATAATTAACTATGTCTGAAAGCAGAAGTCTAGGGCAAATAATTGCAAGTCTCTTCAGTGAGAATGTCACAAAATGATTTGAAAACAGAAGCAGAATTCTGGAATAACAAAAAAAAAGATGTGACATTTTGAGAGAAAAAATCTAATTCTGAGAAAAAGGCGAATTTGAAATGCATTGTGGGACATGTAGTTTATGGGCAATGTGCTTCTGTAAAGTAGCATGTAACTGTATAATAAACATATTATATTCTTTGCAAGCTCTTGTGGGGCCACATGAAATGAAGTCGCGGGCCGGATTTGGCCCCCGGGCCTTGAGTTTGACACCCCTGCGTTAGACCCAACAGTGGGCCGTTGACTGTCTCTGGTGTTCGTTAGCAGGGAAGGTACCGGGTTACAGATAATGTCAAGGGACACTTGGACTCTCCTGAACCTAAAATCAAGGGGATTGCCCCCAGTGATGTTTATAAAATCCACAAAGTTTTCCAGTAGCTGTGGGGATTTAGCAGGTGTTGAACCTTGACCTTATCTGTAGCTCTGTGCTAACAGTGATGCCCATATTGGGTCTTCTTTATTTTTATTTTTTCAAGCCATCAGTTTTGCTGCAGTGTGGACTTGTTTTAATACCCACGTTTTTGTGCATCTGATAACTTCTGCCTGTGGTTCCAATTCTGATTCTCTCTGTCAAGCCTTCTAGTTTGTCAATTTTTTTAGGGACGCTGGACCTTTGACCAACTGGCCGCTCTCTGTCTCGGAAGGGGCAAAGTGCAGTGTACCCAGTATATGGGCAAAGGGGAGGGGCTCCACCTCCTGTTAACGCCAGGAAACCAAAAGCAGACCTTTTTTAATGTAACCACGGAGAGACAAACTCCTATTTTATACACCCAATTAGCACTTAAGCTAACTTTAAGTACGACCCACTTCACAGCGCTGTCGTTCCTGTGGGTTTTAAGGCTAACTATTAAATTGACGTTGGTTCTGCACTGGAGGGGTCCCCCTCCCCTTCCCCCTCCTGCCTGTGGTTTGGGAAAGCTGCCTGTGTTCCCCCTGGCCGGCTGACAGAACTCCCCTTGGTCAAACTGTACCTTGTCTTCTTATTCCACCTGCCAATAGAATCGCTTTCAGTCAACGATCCCCCGGATGTTCTGGACAGGCAGAAATGCCTAACTGCCTTGGCGTCTCTCCGCCACGCTAAGTGGTTCCAGGTTTGGACCTTGTCTTTATTCGTCTCTTTAAAAAAAAAACAGAAGTAGTTTTGTTTTATACTGTTTTTTTGTCTTTTTTCTTTATTTGGGCGTTGTCCATGTTTTTCCTTTTATTTACTAGTAAGTAATACTTGACGATCTGGATGTGTGTTTCTTAGGAAACCTGTGTCATTACACTGCTGTAGAGTTGCTCACGTAACAGGTTTTTTTTTTTAATGTTTGAAGAAGCTGCTTTTTTAGAGTTCCTCTCACAACTCAATCATCCAAAACAAATCTGGGACTAATCCACCACGCATCCAGGTGCAATATTTCTCTAACGTCCGTGTTGGTGTGAGTTGTTGTTTTCACAAGCTACCTGCAGGTCACTGCTGCACCATTCTGTAGTTTTGGAGAGATTGTTTATTTTAATTTATTTTGTAGATAACTCATTTTGGCGTGTCATCTTCGGCTTTCTCACGGTAACAATCAGCGCTCCATCTCTGCAGCTTTTGTAGAGTATGTGGTCTCGACTTTTCCTGCTTTATCTGTCCCTCTGTGTGCCACCAAATCAACAGGAATATTGCACCTTGAGTATTTTTCTTTTTCACTGACTTAACCCCTTCAAATGTGTCATTTAATCTGGTATTAAGTTATTTACACATTTCTCTGAATTAAAGCATGTTTTGCAACACTAAAGGAAATGTCTTATATCTAATAATAACCCCATCAATCATGTTGGCTATTGACTTACAGCCATAAATAATCAAAAGTAGGTTCTTTGTATCCTGTATTTCCATAATGAGAAAGCTAAGCTGCTTTAGTCTGTGTGGCTTCCTTTTATTTACTTTGATTCATTATCTGTGTTGCTTCAGGCCTCCCACGTCTTCCTCTTTGACTCAGTTTGCTTCTCCTCCCCCTCCCTGCTTGTGTCTCCAGGCCAGAGCTAACGGGCTACGCTCCTGCGTCATCGTCATCCGGACCCTCAGGGACCTCTGCGCTCGAGTTCCCACATGGGCCCCGCTCCGTGGCTGGGTGAGAGATAAGCATCCTCCTTAGAGGCTAACACACAAGAGCGAGTGCATCACTTAGCCGATCTCCATTCGGAAAACACACATTTTAAAAGGTGTTTCGGCTGCCGTCTGTCTGCAGACTTGTCAAAGCATTAATTCATTGTTTTTACTAACCGGTATCAGTATGTTGTTACTTCGGCATCATTTTGAAACGTGTATTACAATTAAATCACGGTCAAATATGTTCATTTTGTTGTAGTTGTAGCCCCCTTGCCAGCGATTCTCTCACTAGTTTAGTTTAGCATACTCAGCCTGGTTGTTGGCCCGGAAAGAACCTGGATGTTGGAGAGCCAGAAAAACGGTGAAAAGGTACCCGCTAGCCGGAACTACGCCTAGTGGAAACGCAACAAAAAACGGGCCGGGTTTGGCACGGCACGCTTAAACTGCTGCAGTGGAAATGCACCATTAGTCTCTTAAAACCGTCGTCCTCACATCCCCTCTCTCTGGTCTTCTTTGCAGCCACTGGAGCTGATCTGTGAGAAAGCTATTGGCACCGGGAACCGACCCATGGGGGCAGGAGAAGCTCTGCGGAGAGTTTTAGAGTGTCTGGCTTCAGGAATCCTCATGTCAGGTATGCATGGATTATATTTAATGTGCTTTTAAATTGCAGTTTTCTTTCTTCTAAGTGCTCGGCCATTCAGTCGCTTCCCTTTGTTCCAGAAGGCGCTGGAATCTCTGATCCATGTGAGAAAGAACCCACAGACGCTATCGGCCACTTGGACCGGCAGCAGAGAGAGGACATCACAGCGAGCGCGCAAGTGAGTGAGATAGAGCTTTTTATGTGCACATTTACATGATGATAATAAATGTGTAATTGACACCATCTCTTGTATGTTCAGCATGCCTTAAGGCTGTCAGCTTTTGGACAGCTTCACAAAGTGCTTGGTATGGACCCCCTCCCCTCAAAGATGCCCAAGAAACCCCGTAGTGAGACTCCCATTGATTACACAGGTAAAGATGGTTTGTTGTTTTTTTCTTCTTAACCTGTTGAGCCCCGGGGGCAAAAACGCAACATCAGCAAGAAACAGTGTCTCTTAGCTCCAGAATCCGGTTCACTTCCAGCTCCAAAAAATTGTCGGTCTAGAGGCAAGAGCTTCGGAGCTAAGAGGCGGCGTCGCTTAAGTCTCTCTTACGTCGAGGCGGGGGCAGGATTCGTCGTTGAAGTAGATGCTGAAGACCACAAAGAAGTCTTGCATTTCGCATGTGATGTTTGTAAAGTCGTCCCTTGTAAAGTCGTCCGATGCCTTCCATTTTGTTTCGTAAGAGGATAACCAAAGCGAACAGCGCTTCAATACAATCGGCCATTGTTGTTGTCGATGTGAGGGATTTCCGCGCGGTTTGGATTTTATGAAGCAGGCACGTAAACGGTGACGTCATGACGCAGCAGCGGCAGCTCTGGGCGGTGTGAACGGAGCGGGAGCAGAAAAGGGAAACCGGAGCTGAACCAGAAAAGCTCCCNTACTCCGTTTAGTATGAATTCTCGAAGTCTATGTCATTTATGATGTTGTCGTATCACCCTAACGTATATAATCACAAAGTAATTTAGTTTGTATCGGGGGTTCCGGAAAAAATCTAGATTTTAAACCGTTCAAGTCTGAGTCATCCGGCTGTACACCTTCGATTAAGTTGGTAGTTGTAGTAAAAGTAAAGTTACATCCACTTTAGTTTAATTTAGATTAAAGTGCGTCTCTACGTTACCCCCCCGTACTGTCCTAACAGTGCTGTCCTGGGATCACCCTAAGCTTTGGCGCTCGGGCGGACTTCAAAAGTCCGTTACAGAAGGGAAGCATGTAGAGAGTTAAATTGGGTATCTGCCAGTTGTGTAGTAATTACATTTATAATGGTGGGTTTACTTGAACACCTCCGTTACATTGAGATCACTCGCCGGGTCGGGAAGCATATACAGAGGTATACACCGGGAGCACTTTTTCCAAACGGTGGGAGCTCGATGTAAGTCACTTTTCGCCCAACAAAAAAAATGGAGGGGAACCGGCATCGGAGGAGGTAATTAACTTCGGGGAAGGGGAGCAGGAGACGGAGGAGAAGGAGAGTGGAGCGGGACCCGGCCTGGTCGTTAGAGAGCCGGGGGCTCCCGAGGGTAACTACGGTTTTGGACCTCCACCACGACTTCTCCTTTTGTGTAACAAGTAATTCATAGTAAATTATCCTTCTCCGATATACGGTGGTGTATTCCTGGGAATAAGATTGATTACTGTTCTCTTTTCGTTTCATTGTGTAGGAAAATGAATTCACCTTCAAGTCGTCTCCGGCCCTTCATCAACTCATGTTATGGAAACAAATGAATTAATTCATGTACAACGACCATAGTCATGATAAAAAACTGGCTGACAAAATGAAACTTTGCTCATATTTCAAGCCATCTTTTTCCCGGCGCCTTGCTTTGGATCATCTTCATCAACCGGCCCCATTCCAAACTAATTGAATAGCCCTGTTAGTGTACAGTTTTACTATTATGCTGCTGCTGCTGGGTTTATTGTATTTTTGTAACTCTGGCACAGCAATTTCCTTCGGGATAAAGTCTTATCTTAACAAATCAATCCAATGTAGCTAAATCACTCTTGATACTTGAAACTGCCTACATCTCAGCTCTCCAGAGGGCTTCATTACTTTAGTTGGCTGCTCATTCCTTAAAACAGAAGCTTCAGATTAGCGCTGCTCGATTATGGCAAAAATCATAATCTCGATTATTTGGGTCAATAATTGAGATCACGATTATTAAAAACGATTATCCATTTACTTTGAAAACATCCATTTATTGAACAAAAAACATTTGAACGGTATGTTTTGAACAGTTGATTACCCTGAACTTTAAGTATAATTCAACTGAAAAATAATAATAATAAAATAAAAAAATCGTTTTATTTCGATTACGTTGTTTTCGTAATCGTTGCAAGCCAAAATCGTAATTGCGATTAAAATACGATTTAGTTCAGCAGCCCTACTTCAGATTGCTTATTATAAGAGGAAATATGAAGGGTAGATAATGTAGATTTCAAGGTTATGTCAATGTGTCATTGGGCTTTTTTCTTATCAACTTAGATTTGTTTGAACATGTTAAATTGAATGAATTTATTTGAAAAGTGGTCTTATTGACACATGAATACTGTGCGATATATATTTAAGAAGTACAATATAAGACAAGCAGAAGTTTCTTATACTTTAGTGATTATACAGCGTATTAAATGTCTTTCCTCCCGCTAGGTGGCTTCGGATCATACGGTTACGGGAACAATGCCAACTCCGGATACAGTGAGTATTCCTTTTAATCCTGGTTTTACTGGATGTTTAGTAGAGCTGCTCAATTAATCGTATTTTAATCACGATTACGATTATGGCTTGCAACGATTACGAAAACAACGTAATCGAAATAAAACGATTATTTTGTTATTATTATTATGACTTTATTTTTTTATTTTTTTTGTTCTTCAGTTGAATTATACTTAAAGTTCAGGGTAATCAACTGTTAAAAACATACTCTTCACATTTTTTTTCCTCCAATAAATGGATGTTTTCAAAGTCAATGAATAATCGCATTTAATAATCGCAATTACAATTATTGACCCAAATAATCGAGATTATGATTTTTGCCATAATCGAGCAGCCCTAGTGTTTAGGGTTGCTGCTTGGCCACATGGTCAAAAAAAGAATCATGTATTTTCTTAAGCTCAGTGAAAAAGGCCATGAGGTTAAGGAAAGCTGTGAAGAAGGCGAGTTCATCAGGACTTAAGAAAAGAGACTGCACTGACCCTGCAACACTTCATTCTGTTGAGACCAAGGAGGTTATTGAGTCTGCCTTGAAGGAACTCAAATGTTCCATAGATGGACTATTAAAAGCTACCAGCGAAACACCAGGAAGTGTTAACTATTTGATCATTTACAGTGACTAGTTCACACTGAGTTCTAAACATATAAGCACTTTACAGTTGTGGCATAAGATGAAAAGGTTTGATGAGCACTTTAACTTACTATCTATCACGTGGTTATTAATGTAAAATGCTCAAATAAAGTCAAGTTGGAAATACGTTGTGTCACGGGTCAGGGCTCTAATGTGTTTTATTGACTTAACCCATAGACGCATAAGTGGGTATTTTTCTTGAAGTATCTTTGTAATTATTATTTTTTTTTATCATTTCATATTCCAGCTATTCCTCAAATGTTTTGGACATCATGCCATTCAAATAAATGGTAGTTTTTGTATTTCTACCCCAAGCTTCCATAAGTGGGTCAAAAATGGAATCCTCTGGGAAAACGTTTTTTTTTCTTTACGGGTCCTTTTTGACCCACTTATGGAAGAGTGTAGGGTCCAGTCACTCGTGCATCTAAGGGTTAACTAGGGATTTGTGCCTATTATAGAAACTCCAGGAAAAGAGAATATATAATGTTTAAATATGTTGGGATGTTCCGAGTTGGATGATTTTACATTTCTCTGCTTTAAGCCACAGGATTGAATCTGTTTTTTGACAAGCCGACCTCTTAAGAGAAGCCCTTTTTTCCCCTCTGAGGACTGACCTACCTGAGCGTGACGGGAGCAGAGAAATCTAAAAAAAATAAAATAAAAAAAAATCTGACCAATGAGTCATTCAACTGCCTCCTTTTGAGCAGATAAAAAAAACAATCCAAATAAACAAAATCTAATTTTTTTTTTTTTTCCCTTCTCTGCCCTGTTTCACTCTTTAGGTGACTTTGTCTCAGACTGCTATGGCTACCACGAGTTTGCGACATAAATCGTCCCCAGTGTTAGAAAACCCAAAAAAACAGTCCTGTAGAGAGAGCGTAAAAAAAACAAAAACACATGGACACATTTCTCAGTCGTGTTCCAGCAGCATCATGAACTCCCTTCACCACCAAGTCCTCATCCTGGGATTAAAGCGACACGACAACTCCTCCGCCCAATCATGTCCTTCGGGGAGACTTCCTGCCACTGCATGCATGTAGACATAAGTCTGTGGATGTCACCGGACTGAACGGCAGAGTTGTTTTTGATCTGTAGGCCTGGGCACGGGGCGTCTGTGTAGGCGTGGGGTCAAAGCTTTCTCTTTATTTGGACCATGATTACGTGAAGGCCTACTGGACAACATCACACTGCCTTTTGGATTATTGTCAAGACTGCAACACTGTCTCTATACTGTTTACTAATACCAGAACACTGGGGAAACATGACTAGGGCTGCACGATTATGAAAAGATGACTGATTTTGACCAAGTGTGACTGAATGATCACTTTTGAACTATTATTATTTAGATCTGTAGAATACTGTTTGTAGTCCTGCAACGCAACAATACTTCATATATTTGTACCTGTTCACCAAATATTGCGCTGACTGCCGTTTCTATATGGCACTAGTCCAAATGCGATAACACTTCGAATGTATTGTGCCGCCCTAATCATGACTTGTTTTTATTTCAATCCACTCCCTGGCTCTCACTTCCAATCAGGACTTGAGATGGTTTTATTTTTTGTTTCTGTTTTTTACTATTGAAAAGAAAGGCCACATGGTTTGTATAGAATCTGCTGTTTCTGTGTCATATCGCGGCTCCACTGACTGCATGGTGGTCTTATTAGGCAGTGTTTGGTAGTTCCTCTATAACAGCAGTGGGAAATGAACTGTTGGCTCTAAGTTTACACACACACACACACACACACACAAAAAAACTGTGGCTGAATCGAGAAATGTTTGGGAAAGGAAGACTTTGCTTTTTGCTGTTTTTTACATGTCTGTTTTTTTTAATAAATGTGATGTCACCATTCATACGTGTGTTACTCCAGGGTCTCTTTTAATTTATGACAAGTGTGTGTTGCCCAGATTTTATACAGGGTGTCCGCGGGGTCTTAAAAAGTATTAAAAGTTGATCAATCAATTTAGCGAAAATGATGGGTATTACATGTTGTAGCTTGTTTTCAATAAGTATATAAATTGTCCAAAGAGGTTGTATTCTACAGTCTGCCTGAATGTAATCATTGCGTAGGTGTGTAGTGTGATTCTGTGTCGTTTATTTATGGCATCCCGTTGGATTTGACGTCATCTGAACAGGACATCGCACGCTCATTGCTTGATAGCGCGCGAAGGTCCGTTTACGCCGGTTGTTAAACAACATCGTTATGGGGAAATGCAAGTCTGCGTCCAAATGGTTGGAAGATAAGGAGGAAGGACAATCAATACTGTATATAGTCAATGTGAGGTAAAGTGTGTCGCCAAGGTAACCGGTTAAAACTCAAAGTCACGCCAAAATTAGCCGCCTTTAGCTTAGCGGTGGTGACGGGAACTCTAGTGATCTTGCTGTAGTTCCTTTACAGCCTAACGTTAGCTTTTTACTTCTGGATTTATGCTTAATATGTGGAGATTGGACTATTCTGCAGCATTATTTTTATTGTATTTACTTGCAGTTTTATTGTGTTACGCTGTTGGAGGAGCCTGTGACCTCAGATTTTCATTGTCATAACTACTCTGTAGCTATGTACGTAGGACAATAAAAGCCTTGAATCTTGATTTATCCTGCAGAACAGAACCTGTAAGAATAAATGTTTGTTTGCCAGAGATCTTATTTTCTGCAATATTCCAAAATCAAATAGAAAAATCCCATTAGCCTTTTTATAGAGGGAGCCCTTCCTGTTACTTTATGCCCATTTTAAAGTTCCCCTATTATACGGTTTCTCATCAATATATCACAGTTCTCAGATATATACAGAGCCTGTCTCTGATTGGCTGAAACACCAGACAGATCATAGCAGCATTACCCATAATCCCCTCTGTTTCAGCCCTGTTTCAAAAGTGCTGATTCTCTGGCCGTTTCTCAATCGCGAGTCACTTGCTTCAGAAGCGAGGCAAGAATCCTTCCTTGCATTCGGAAAACGAAGAGTGGAACAGGCTAGCAAGTGTGCAGGTGTGCGTCATATGAGAGGCCCCGCCTTACATTTTCCACCACAGATTTGGGGAAATTGGTCCGTGCGCAAAGCATTGTGGGGATTTGAAGGACGCGAAGTCTACCCATGTGCAGCCTCGAAATTACCCCCAAACCAAGGACCCGGCCTCGGTGGAATTCCAAGTATGCTGGAGATTGGAACAATCCTTCGGCGGCACTCGATGACGTAGCATCCTTGAAATATTGGCTTGGAAGCCAGAATCCTGTTCATTTGTCTGTCTCCGGCAAAGAGTT